AGCCGAACGCTTAACTAACTGAGACAGCCAGGTGCCCCCAGGTGTGTTTTTAAAAGGGAAAACACTTCCCCAAAGTTGACAAGAGGAGGAATGATTCTCCTTGACCTTCAGGAGCTGCAACTTGGGTAGATCCAGTTTATCTGCAGATTCCTCCCTGCCTGCCACCTCCTCCATTTTTAGAAGCAAAGTAACTTGTAAAACAGGGGAGAGGCGATTTTATAACTAAAGGTGACAGCTAACATTTATTGCCAACCCGAATGTACGTGTCTGTTCCTACGCTGTTATAACTGTGTGTGCGCTCTCGCTCTGAGGGCATTATCAATCCTCAAGGGCGCGAGGTATTATCTTCTGTTTCTTTGGTCTCTCGGATAGCACCTTGGCCAGCGCCTGATGATAGTCATTGACTGATTGACTGACTGACAGATTGGCTGACCTTGCCATCACTCTTGTCTTAGGCCCACGAAATGTGTTAACATCTTGCCTCATTTTGCTTTTGGTCTGAGAGGTAGCATTCCATCCAAATTCACTACACGAAGTCCAACAGCTGGAATACAGGAGCCATTCATCAGAAAACGAGTTAGGCTTCCTTAGGGTTCGTGTGTGTGGCAAGACCCTAATGGAATTTTTTAAAATTTCGTTCATTTTGTGAAAACAGCCCTGGAAAGAGGATATGTTAAAGCTCTTTGATTTGACTGACCACGGCCATCCACACCAGTGGATTTGGCATCTCTAGTGACTGGCTTCTTGGAGGGACGGATTTAATAAAGAGGATTTTCTTCCCCTGGGTTGGCTGTGAGAGTGATCAGACATGCTTGTGGGGCCATTTTCTGGTTCCCACTGTTCTTGTGTCAGCCAAGACAGCCACAGGCAGGAATTACAGTCCACTCCGCCTTCTCACTCCGATCCAGGCCGACGGGGGAGCCTGGGGGATGGAGCCCAGGATGTTGGGTTTACGAGTTAACCTCACCGGGTGTGTTTCACCACACGACGTACCTTTTACACTCGCACATCACGATACTCAGAGGTAGGCTGAAGCCAGGTAACATTTCTGCTCTCTTAGAAGCATGAGAGAAGATAGAGAAGAGAGAGAAGTGGTTTTCACGAAAGGTCAGTGAAGGTCTGCATCACTGTTCCTGACATACCTGAATGATTAATGTCCCTATCTGGGGAGTTGAGGGAGCTTAGTGAGAAATGTCTTCTCCTCTTGGAAGGGTAACAGTACACTGAGGAATGCTGTCAGGGAATTTATGGGTGACAAATGTGGGCAGAGCCAGCCTAGTGATATAAATAGCAGATAGTGTCTATTCTTCTCAGTGAGGAGACATTACACTCTAATAAACCAACAGTGTGGTCCACAGCCCTGTTTTCATCCTACTATAGATGACTGGCCACCAGATAGCCAAAGTCAAGATCAGTCCAAGGAACCTCCCAAACCATGAAGCTGCTCGTTCGAGTTTCCTTCAGATCACTCAGACATGTTGTTGTTTTGAGCTTGTGCCGGGGGTGAGCGAGGAAATCAGGACGTGTGTCAGTGCAAGACGTGGGAACCAACATGGGCAAGATGTGCACAGCTCAGGTCCCCACAGGGCCAAGAATGTTCCAGAGGATTTTACCAGGGAAGTGGGTGTGTGCCACATGCCTGCTGCTCTTTCCGTTTGGTTATTGTTGAAGGACTTAACTTGTTGCCTTTCCGAAAATTTTCTTTCTTTTAACAATTAGGTTGTGGTTTTTTTTGAGAACTCGGTTGTTATAAAATTTCACTTTTTAATTTTACTTATTTAACAAACGCATCACATACTATGTAAACTAAAATACACAAATATCAATTACATAATTATCGAATTATATTCTATAATATGTAAATATTAACTTCTCTAATGTTCATCATAACTCAGTGAGGTGTAGGTACTACTTTTAACCCCACTTTACAGATCAGAAAACAGACATCGGGAGGCTAAGTAATTCAGTAAGACTACACAGTTGGTAAGTGGTTACACAGGGACTTGAACCCAGGAAGTCTGGTTCCAGCATACTTTCCCTTCACTGCTATTAAAGTTCAGAAAAATATAAAGCCCACACTGTATATACCGCATTTTAGCTAACTGGACAATAAATTATACTTAAAAAAAAAAAAAAAGAAAAGAAAAATGTAAAGCCCGAAAAAACCAGCACAACGACAACTATAGAAACATTGCTTTGATGTCTGTGCTCTGCATAGGCTCCCACGTGACTGCACCTAGTCTCCATATTCCGCTTCATATCTTGCTTTTGTTTTCTTCTGAACCTTATATGATGGTCTTTCCATGTTATTAAAAACCCCCTGTAAATATTGTTTTAATGCCTACTTAATGTTTCCATCGTATAAGCATATCACTCTTTGCTTAATCATCCCCTTATGGAGGCCCGTTTGGCTCTTGGGTCCTCTGTTCTGACAACTAGCACTGCAGTGACTGTCTCTGTGCAGAATTTCCTCTGTTCTTTGTTTCTTTTTTTTTTTTTTTAAGTTTATTTATTTGAGAGAGAGAGAGAGAGTGCGAGAGCAAATGGGAGTGGAGGGGGCAGGGAGAGAGAGAGAAAATCCTAAGCAGGCTCCACACCGTCAGCATACAGTGGATGTGGGGCTCGAACCCACAAACTGTGAGATCGTGACCTGAACACAGTCAAGTGACAGACACTTAAGGACTGAGCCACCCAGGCGCCCCCTTCTGTGCTTTGGAAAAGAGTTTTAGAATACGTACTCAGAAGTAAAATCCTCAAGTCCGGGTGTATGTATGTGAACACTTCTAGGGATCTACACCCAGGTTGTCCAGTGGTTTTCCAAGAGGCTTGTACTTTCCCGGTGTCCACAGCGCTGGACAGAAGTGATTGTCATTCTCACACCAGCACCGAGAACGATTTCTAGAAATCTTTGCTAATGTGATAGGTAGAATATTGTCTTGATTTTATTTCTTTGTTGGCTAGAGGATTGAGTTTGTCCATATTGGTGGATCAATTATAGGAATCTTTGAGTAGTCTGGTTGGGTCCTTTGCCCATGTGTCTGTCAAGATCAGACGGAAGCCTTTGGGGGTCAAACAGAGAAAGGCCAGTGGTTTCCCATTCTTTCTTCTCTTGCCTGAACATGATATTTCCCCGGGTATTTTCCCAGTCTCTACTGTAATGTATGCATTTAACCATCCCCCAAAACCTTATGTGCATTTTTCTCTGGATCCTATACAAAATATACTACTGTCTGCTTGTAAAGGGTTATTATTTCATTTTCTACTGTGAGTGTGCTCCATGCCTAAATCTGCATTGGTCCCTCCGTCTTGGATCATAAGCTCCTGGAGGGCCAGCCTGTGTCTTTTTGAGCAGTTAGGCACACTTTTCTTTGGTGACGTCCCCAGCAACCACAGAACAGGCCTCCTGGCTGAAGGTGATGGGAGCATTTACACAGGCACCTTGAGGGTATGAAACAGAAGTGAGAAGGGTTAAGAGTGTAGTAGACTGGATGTGGCCATGTGCCCTGGTTGTGCTTAAAGAGAGCTGGAAAGAACCCAGTAACACCTCCCCTACCTATTGATCAGTGAGAAGGGGGAGTTCTAGTGGAGAAAGGCACACAGGACTGGGGACCCAAAGCCCAATGAATTAGTCCCGAGTTCTCCATCATTTCATATGAGCCCTGGGTCACTTTCTCTACGAGTCTCTCGTGTTTTTTTCCTACCCGAAACACAGTAGTGATGTTAAGAATAGCCGATGTTTCTAAAGCACCTTAAAATGCTATATATGGTCTTCCTATCCCTTAATCTTCACTATAGCCAGTGAAACCGACACAGTTTACAGGTGAGGGAACAGACACAAAGAAGTACAACCTTCCCTTCAATAAAGCATCAAATGAAGATTTCATTATTAGATTTTTATTTTTTTTTTTCTCAACGTTTTTATTTTTATTTTTGGGACAGAGAGAGACAGAGCATGAACGGGGGAGGGGCAGAGAGAGAGGGAGACACAGAATCGGAAACAGGCTCCAGGCTCCGAGCCATCAGCCCAGAGCCCGACGCGGGGCTCGAACTCACGGACCGCGAGATCGTGACCTGGCTGAAGTCGGACGCTTAACCGACTGCGCCACCCAGGCGCCCCTCATTATTAGATTTTTAAAAGCTTCTTCTGCTCCGGGAAAACAATCCATTGACTTAAGTGTATCATGAGGCAAGAAGGAAGGCAGAAAAGGTAAGATATCTTGGAAGGTGTAGAGGATCATGGGAAAGGACCACAGACGCCCCAAGGAAAACTCCATTACACGAGAAAAGAAAAATTGAAAGCCATCAGTGAAACAAGATCAGCAGAATGTCGATGATTACGTTCAAATATTAAGAAACCTTTCGTCCTATTTCTTCATTACATTGTGTCTTCACTTCCAGTTTTCCCATTTACCGCAAAGATCAACAACAGTAATATATTCTAGCACATTCCATCTTATGGGTACCCCATACCTATTCAACATAGTGAAAAAGTTATTAAGGAGTTTGAACGTATCCGTTAGAAGGACAGATGGATGGACAGATCGATTTTGCTTTTTTTCTTTGTAAGTGGGCCTTGTTAAGAGCATGCTTCAGGCTTTACCAAATGTGAAAAGCAGAACAGAATGTAAGGTAAAGGAGGTGATGACGATGTACCCAAATGCGGTGGGAGGGTCTGGGTAGGCACATTCTCTGAAGGTCAAGTTCGCAGTCTCCAGGACTCTGTAGAGCATCTGGGGAAGGTAAGGAGCCCTTCATTCAGCTTCCAGTCCTGGAGCAGGAGGTAAAAATGTCAAAAGCCAACAAGCTTTGTTGGCCCCTGAAGGTAGAAGAGCTTCTGCAGAAATAGTGCATTTCGGAGGCTCACTTACGAGATTTTACAGGTGGGCTTAAGAGTTGAAGGCATTTTGTCGCATGAGTCAGGCTGAGCAAGGGTCTGGCTGTGCCGGGGTGGTGTTTGGAACGGCCTTCTGTGGTAGATCACTGCCATGTTTGTATTTCAGGATTTTATGGGCAGCTCCAGACCTTCTGCCCCCCACAGTACCCGGACCCCCAGAGAGCCGTGCTGCCCAGCAGCTCGTGCAGTGTGGTGCCTTCCTTCGAGGACTGCCTGGCCCCCACGCCCATGGGGCAGGCTGGCTTTGACGTGTTCCACAGGGCCTTCTCGGCTCACTCGGGCATTGCAGGTATGTTGATGACTGTCACTTAGAAACCCCGGCAGACTAGCAGGTGAGACCGGGACTAGACTTGACCCTGCACGTGACCGCAGCAAATCCCGTTGAATCCGCCCCTGTCGTATCTCGCACCTTCACGCTCCTCTTCAGGCCCACCTCCGCCACCCTGGTTCAGGGGCCACAGTGTCCCTCCCGGTCTGTGACAACAGCTGTAGCCTTCCAGCGTGTTCCCTGCGTCAACTCTACCTTTACCATTCTTCCCTCTGCACCACCGTGAGCATTGCCTTCCAAAAATGAAGGACAGAATAAGCCCCTGTCCTCCTTGAATACCTTAGCCTCCAGTTGTCTAAAGAATAAAGTCTTCTCCTTGGCAAGGCAGTCAAAGCCACGAGATAGGCCTGGTCAGATGCTCCAGGCCGCACCTCACACCTGTCTCCCCACGTGCACTGCCCGTGCACGTGGCCCCACAGTCCCTCGCTCTCCGTCTTTGTGCTCTGTTTCCTCCTTCTAGAATGTTCTTTCTTTACCTCTCCATCTGTGAGAATCCCATCTTTCTTTATGGCTCAACTGCAGTCATCTCCTTTCTCAGGCCACCCTCACCCTTCCCTCGAACACTTGACTTTTATTTGCACTCAGCCCGTATTTTCTGCCAAGACTTACCTTGACTGTTCCTGCCAAGACTTACCTTGACCGTAGGCCTGCAAGTCCGTCAGCCTCCTTCCCCACTGAGGGCCCCGGGGACAGAGAGCCGTTGAAGGTCCTAACCCTGGGCCCCCACTCAGCACTGGCCGTAGGGCACACACGGTGGGTAGAGACAGGTGGGACCGTTGACTTCTTTCTCCTTCTCTTCCAGTGTATGATTTGCCGTCGGGGTCCCCCGGCCTCTTCGGGGATTCTGTGCGTGGCGGGCCTGAAGACGCCACGTTCTTGCAGATCAGCGCTGTGGACCGCTGTCCTAGCCAGCTCTCCTCTGTCTATACCGAAGGCTAAAATCTCCCCTGGCCTCCACTACCACTGGCATCCGGAACCTTTTCGTCGCTCGCCACCTTGTACTCTCACACCCTCACTGACTGCACGAAGAGGATGCCAGCCGCTTCCGTGGAACCTGCAAAGTCCCAGGCGTGTCTCTGGAAGGCGGGACTGGTCAGGGCCGGCTGTCCCAGGGCTGCGTGTGGTTGCTGCTCTGTCTGGATTTGCTGGTGGCCCACAGGACTGTCTCTTCAAAGGGAATTTAGAGTCACTCTACTGGACACCTGTTCCTTCCAGCTGTCCACTCTCAAAGGACACCAGTGAAATGACGCACACGTCGAAGTGTAGTTCGGGGACCACCCTTGCACAGAACTCCAAGTAGGGAAGGAAAACCCAAGTTACCAGAAGCACAGAGAACTGCCTCACCCCGTACGCATCCTCCCCCCACTGGCTCCGGCAGGACCCGATGAGGGAAATCTGCATCCAAAGCACCGCTTGGGCTCAGCCCGCGGAGGAGCCCCCCCCCCCCGATCCTGGCACTGCACCGGCCTGGCACCCCGGCGAGCTGGTGCCTCTCTGCTCTTCCCGTCCCTGTGCTAACCAGTCGCTTTTCAGTATTTCTCCAGAAGCAAAATGAGGTTCTATCAAGCACAGTCCCTTAAAAGGCACTACAACCTGTTTTATATTCCATCAACTTATCTTAGTTCTTTTATGCTAAAGACTTGTTATTTACATCTACTTTTAAAGGAAGAAAAATATTTAGAGGTCTGTTCTTTGGATGGAAATAGTTATCTTAATCACCCCAGCTACATCCATTTTAGCCACAGCCCGTGGCCCCTCCTGGTCCCACCTCGCAGCGCCTGGGAGCCCCCCCAGAGTCGCAGTTTTGCACTGAGCGAAAGGCACCGGCGGGAAGTGGGTGGGCCCAACCCCTTCCCAGTGCCGTAGCAGAAACCCTGGTGGGCTGACTGCGTGAGGCGACTCCACCTCGAAGACCTTGTTCAGTGGAAAAGATCACTTGACTCGTTGACCCTTCGCCTCTGCTCGGGGAATGCCGTGCCCAGGTCGTGCTAGAAGATGTGGAACAGGGACACGCTGAGTTGAGATCCCGGGCTCTCTCAAAAAACCACACGAGAGGTGCCTGATGTCCAGTTATCTTGCACAGCCTCTGCTCGCCTCCGTTAGGATGTCCACTCATCCGTCTGTCCCTCCCCCATACTCTCCCCTCCCTCCTCGCTCTTGTCACCTTCTTCTCTGTTCCCGCTCGCCCACCGCCACTGCCTGAGCACCCTTGGCAAGGTCTTCCCAAGGAGCGGGCAGAGGGAAGGCTGGGGCAGCAGATGTTCGCTTTTTTCATGTAACCCTAGCCTGGAATTTCCACAGAGCTCTTGGTCATTTGATAGCAAACCTGAATAGGAAGCCACTTTCTGTGATGCGTTTACAAAGCTATTCAAAGAGATCTTAAGTCGTGCGCGTAAGGTCATAAAAATTAGCCACACCCCAGAGACCCCCTGGTAAACTCTGGCGTTCCAGAACTATCGCGTTTCAACGTTTCTTTTCTCTGTCCTTAAGAATGGGTTCTGAACACAAATGAAACAATGTGGTCTGTCCAACTGGGATCGTTACGGTCTTCGAGAAGGGTTAACAGCTGGGTGTCCCGGGACAGTTTGTGTCCAGACAGACAGGTCCTTCCAGTCGGGCTCGGCAGTCGCTCACGTGCTGCTTGACGCGGACCGGATCCCAACACGTCACGGAGAGAGGGGACTAAAGAGCCGCGTGTGGGGTCGCTTTTACGGTGGGCGAGGTCCGCCGACCGCTGAGCTCCGATCTGAGAAAGGCCAGGCCCGCGAGAGGGCCGAGTTACCCACTTGACAAAGATCTGCGCTGCTTTCCGAAAGGCTTCCCTTCCAGATGAGCCCTCGGGCGTCCCCCCCTGCAGACTTTGTGGGTTAGGTCACTTGGCCTAAAGGAGGACACGTGCGTGCTACCTGCCATCCCTTGCGTGTCCTTTGTCACACTCTGCAAAGGAAGGTAGAGATCCGGTGTCTTTAGGGAGGCAGCGCGGCCATTCTCAAACTCTGAGGCCTGCGTGGGGAACTCAGAACATTCTTCATGTGTGAGATGAGGGAGGGAGAAGCTGACAAAAAGCAGGGTTAATGCAGTGATGCCTCCGTGCCTCACGGCTTTTACATGATTTACCGGGAGGGAGGGAAGGAAGGCGAAGCCAGAGGCTGAACCTCACAAACCCCTGGGTGTCATCATCCTCTTCACCTGGGGGAGATGCCCCTGTGCCCGCCTCTGGTGTTAGCCCGGCCTCACGGTGGCCCTGTCGCCGCTTGTGGGGGGAGGGGACAGCAGCAGCACCTCAGGGCCTCCTCCCTCAGCAGGATGGAAGCCAGTCCCCCCCACCCCCCACCAAGGGACCTTGGTGTTAGCAGAGGGAGCACACAGGAAGCAGAGTCAAGTGCGACCCGCGAGGTCAGCTGCCCTCTCACACACCCGTCAAGCGTATCCCAGGGGCTGCATGTTGGAGTCGGGGCCTCAGGGCATGACACATTCGGGTTCCTTATAGACGGCACAGGCTGTCCTCAGAGTCCAGAGTCTCCCCTGACCTTAAAATCTGCCCCTTGCTTGCTTCCAGTGTCGTGCCAGATTTATATCTGCATTCATCATCATGTCTGTAGCAGTGAAAGTAGAAACTTCGAGAAACTCACTCCCTTCCATTTCCTGGCCTTTTTAGTCTCGATATTGTAACCATTTTCATCAACATCTGAGCAGAGATTGTCATTCCCCTGTTTTGAAAAAAACTGGTGAAATACACACAGCGCAAAGCCAATTATCCTATTACATTAAAAAAAAAAATCAGTCTGCTTAGAGACATTTCATTTGCTGCATTGTCTTAATTCCCTAAAGGGACCATTTCAAAATGTCAGTTGTAATTTAGCCTCTGATCAGCCGTTAAATATTATTTAAGTATTTGCTGGTCCTGTGGGGTGTCTCCCTTTAACCATGTCTCCCCCAAATTGCACAGGTGACTCGAAGTGGACGGAAGGCCTTCAGGGGACCCCCTGATAGAACAGGGGTGGTGTGGTTCTGTCGTGTTTCACTTACCAGCTGTCGAGCACATTAGTGTACTCGAGCAGAGGTAAACGTTCAACTCCCCTGTCTGTCCCAGAACCTGGACTTTCCAGTTGTCTTGAAGTATTGGGAATAGTGACTGTAAATGTCCAATTCAATTATTTGCTATTTTATTTGTCTGTTTTGACCATGTCATTTTATAGCAGCATTTTTAATGGCACTTTTTGTTGGTGGTGTGGAATTTCTGCGGTTACCTTTTTTTTTTTTTTTTTTT